GCATGTGGCTTTTCAATTTATTCAGCTCCACACAAGAGGAAAAGGGCATCATTTTTACTGTCTTAAACTTTCATACTCTAAATACTAGTCTCATTCTTCTGCTTACCCATGGGAATCCTGCATCTCTAGGTACGCTAGCTTAGGGCAAAGCCAAGGGAAAGGGTTCTTAATAACATGAAACTGCAATTCAGGAAGCGTTTCAAAGAATTTTCTCCAGTGGAGAAAGTCTTGCATACTATGAGTTGTCCAAATTAAGAGGAATGGAAATTACAAGTTGAACTTACAAATATTAAATGCTATGGGCAAAATTTGCACTTCTGAAATATGCTCAAGTGATTGTCCCAGATACTGAAGTTTGGGGAATAAATGAAGACCCACTGCAACACAAGTGGCAGGAGCAAGTTTCCTCACAAAACCCAAACTGGCTTCAGCTCTGGAAATATCATGAGTAAGAGCATTTTTTTATTTAAGTGTTCACCTTTGTTCTGAACAAAGAATAAGTCACCTGTGTGTGTGAACTACACTGTGACCATTTTATATGTCATAACTATCAGCTTAAAAGCACCATCCAACCAAGGCTGGATTTAAACCAGCAGTTTTGACGTACATCTGACCTCATTACCAACTGCATACGGCAGTGAATAGTCTTCCACAAAATAGTTAATTTCTCCTGCAAGTTTCAGCATCTCTCACACTGCTTATAAACAGGGCTCCCCATAGCCCTGGGCCACATCACACCCTATACACTGCCATCACCGCGATCCCTTTGTACACGCAGCTAGCAAACAGAAGCCAGGTTAATGAAGGGCTTGCTGGTTCACTCATTTTGGCTGGGGGAAGAGGGTGTCACTCTGCATGAACTCTGAAGACTCACCTCACGTGACCAGGCTGCCTGTCTACGCATCATTTACAGTCACATTTGACACTGCTGTAGAGGTCTCAAAAACAGACTTCCTGCACATTCTATAGAAATCCATAACCAGATAAAGTGGATTGACTCACATTAGTGCCCCTCCTGTGCAAAAATAACGACAAGCAGATTCCTTTATCAGTTGCAGAGCAGCAGGTCAATCGACAGGTGTAGTGCTCTTCTTTGTCTGGACACATCTCATGACATGCTGGGTGCGCTGAGGGACCACGAAGTATTCATGCAACACAAGAGCTAGAAGAAGCTGGCAGGGAGGAGAATTACTGTGATAGGGAGTTGAGGACAGACCCATAACGAACATTATATATCCTCAGTTGTATCATTCAAGGAAGCTAGTTACCTCTCATGAAGAAGTCCACAAAAGAGGTTAAATACATTGAGAAGTACATGTAAGGCACTCAAAAACATCCTTTTACACTCAGTGTGTGCATAAGTATGCTCTCATAGTTATTCGAAGTGTACTATAAAATCTGGAACACTACACTCAAGTGTTTTTCATGTCATAATCAAGCCTGTTCCTTTAACAGGAAAAACACCCCACCGAAGCTCTTGATTGTCTTTAAATTGTCAATTGTTATCAACTTTCACACACAGTATGATAGGAGATGGCATCAGATGCTTGCCTTTCCTCAACTGAGGAATGTTGAGAAACTGGGCAGAAGTTGCACCCAGCATATAAAAAAATCTATGATTTGCCAGTGCAGGGAAAAGAATACAGGTAAAAACCAAGACTCCCATGAAGGACCAAACAGAGAAAATCCCAAAGCAAATTAAGCACCAGATGGTTTGGGAAAACAAAACCATTCATGAGTTGTGGACAGAGAAGTTAGGACTAAACCGGTGGCATGTTTCATTACTTCAGGAACCTCTTCTGCCTTCAGCTTCATCCCACAAAGCATGTTCAGCATGTGTCAAAGGCTGTTTAGATCCCTAGGCTCATGGAAAATAAATGTTTGCCTATGCATTTCAAGTGGTGAGAAAAGGCTATCTATGGGATGACTGAACTGCAGTTGTCTTGAACTAAAATGTTATTTCAAATAAATTACAACTAAAAACTGTCCTCAAACAGGGGAAACTTGTAATTATTTTTTCCAAACCTGAGTAAAATAATTTTATTGCTTCCAGAGAAGTATGGCTTTACTGGCTGGATTAAGACAATAACTCAATGTAGAATCACCCTCCACCTGAACAGAATATATTTGCTTTGAAATAATGACTGATTACAGCTATTAAGATACATTAAAAATCTCAAGGGAATTCCATACAAGGTAATTCCAAACAAGGTAAGACTTCATGCCTTCAAAACAAGGTACTCATAGGACACTGATTAAATGCTAATTCACAATATGATTTTTAAAAAGTTTGGTTTTTTTTAAGCACAAGAGTGTGCAAACGTTACTGTTTCAAAGGAAAGGCAGAAGGGCTCACTTTGATGTGTATTCATTTATCTATTTGGAAGCGGGTCGCAACACTAGCTGATCAGAACAGTCACTGGTATTTACCTGCACCTGTTGAGGCGGTAAACCGTTCCACTGAGACAGCAAGAGGTTCAGATTCTTTACATGAGAATAAGAGAATCCGAGAAAGACGCTGCTTATGAAACAGCAGGATGAAACACCACACTCTAAACGGAGGAGATTAAAGGCAACTGGCATGCTTGTGTATATTACCATTCTAAAATACATGTACCTCCAAATATGTATTATGTCACAAGCCTAAACTGCAGGAGACACCAATGATTTTCAGATCTCTTCTGAATGCTTAAGTAACTCTATTAATTTTTCATACATTCTTGCTGGCTGCATGAGAACAAGAGAACAATTCTTGGAGAACATTCAGCCTAATGCTGTTGTATGCGACAGCTCAGAGGAAACCAGCAGAAAATAATTCTGAAAAAATCTTCCATAAAGTAAACCAATGAGAAATAGCAGTAAAATTTTTAATGCCTGTAATTTATTGTATACATACTCTGCAAAACTTATATGCATTTGGTGTGTGCAAAAGTATACACTTTTTTGACAGCACCAGGAAACAGTTAAGCTATGTACGAGTTTTTAACCTGATTTGTCACATTGTGTAAAAAGACATTGTGCACAAATGATATCCCCAAAGAAAAATCAAATCATCGGCTAAAACTAGAAGCACCCTTATTTACACACTAACACTTTAATATTGCATCACACCCACTCACCAAAATAAATAGAAGTACATTCATCACAATTTAAACACCAGTCTCTCCATATATTTATTTTCTGACATGTTTTGGTCTCCAGAAATATGCTATATCTAGAAATATGCATCAGCTAGTAGATTATGTTACAAAATGCAAAAAAAATAGAAAATTAGTTTTCCTGGACAATATTTTGGGCTTTACACAAAAATAAATCCAGATTTCCATAGAGATCTCATACTTCTCGAAAGATTTTTATTTTAAAGCACAGCACAGAGTTGCACGCTAAGGCTTCCTGTGATATGCAAAACCCTGGCCTCCAAAAGACATCGCTGTAAAGGGAAATACAGCTCAAGTGTAAATACAAGACATTTTCAAAAAGTAGTCATCAATAGAAAGTGCCCTTCATTTGATTTAGCATTAGCAGTAAAGAAGTAGCTGCTGTAATTGTGCAATCAAAGCCAGACCTGGAAGGGTTTTAAGAAAAGTACGTCATTTCACACTATCAAGTTTAAGGATATAGAATCTGAGATAGCAGAAACTGACCAACCTCTTTATACTCCTACATTCATTATTTTTTGACACAATTTAGTAAAAAAGGCACATTGTCAAACAGTGAATTAAAAATCTAAAAAACAAACCAGAATTTCATTAAATACAATTAAATAATTAGCTTAACATCAGATTCTCATAAACCAATATAAGCGTTCTTCCAGTTTTTTTAACCTCAAATTCAGATGCACTTTGGACAAGTACTGAAGTACTCTCATTAGATTAATACTATTGATCTGGCAAACAGTAAAAATTATTTTGGATACAAGGTCAGGAATTAAAAACCAAAAATTTAGTTCCTTCCTGGCGAATTTACAAATATGCAGCAAATGCAAACATATTAAAACCCAAACATTTGTACAAAATTTGAAAACCATTAGCATCCCATGCCAATTATGGGAAAGTACTTCTTGACTGTAGAATTACAAATGTGTCCTTGAATAATTTTTCATATGAAATAGACAAAATTTAAGCAATGACCACTCTGTGAAGAAACAGTTATACAGTGTCTTAGGGAGGCTAGCAGAGTACATTGCAGTCACCACCTAAGACAAATGACAAAGTGCTTTACAGATTAAGAAATTTAACTGATCTTGCATGGTTAAATAATCAGAAAGAGGTGAAATAATCAGGTTTTATTTAACCTATATGTATCTGAAATGCAGATTTAATTCCCAACTGAACCAATTTTGAATTAATATATTTCTTTTGCTTCATAAGAGACTTTTTCCCCAGCCAGGCAAGAAGTTGCTCACAGCTGATACAGCTGTCTGGGTTGACAGACCTAGAGCCTTTCTCTGGCTAAAAAGAAGTAAAAAGTAAAAAAAGCCCAGTAACTTGATCATGGTCCCAGTGTTCATTGTCTTGAATGGATAATTCTAGGAACCACAACAGAAAATTTTAGATGGTCCCAATGAAGCAGAGTGAATACAGCACACTTCTAGACAGGCAGTGAGGTTACACTATCTTGCATGGTCTCAAGGGAATACACTGAGAAACAGTTTTTGTTAGTTAATACAGAAAGTTAAAAATCCAGAGGAGCAACGATGGTGTCTTCATCTGGGCTCCCTGTCAGCTAATACTGAATTAGTTTATAGAATCTATCCCAATAGCTTACTCATGTCAGTGTTTTACTGAGGCAGTGAAATGCTACACCATTGACAGAAAACATCTTAAAGAGGCAAATCTGTTTTTTCTTACATTAAGAGTCAGATGTTTAAACTTCAGCAGCTTCCAAGATTGCTCCTTTACAGGTTGCTATCTGAACTGCTTCCTAGAAGCAGCACTGTTAAGAATAGCCCCCGATAGGAAAGGCTCCTTAGTTGTTTTCCTACAAGGGAATTTTTCCTTTTTACTCCTTTATCCCCCCCCGCCCCCAAACACCCAAAGCCCTTTTTGTACTTTTCCAAGTACTTCTAGCATTAAAACATAACAGCCTCAGCAGCTGAAGCCAGAGGTACTATCGGTGGAATCCTGGAGCTTGAGGCAAAGCTGAGTAGTGATACTGGTGAGCTTTGAAGGGCAACCTGGGGAAATCTAAGTAGATGCAACACCAGATTGAAGCTTCAGACTCAGTACAACTCCTGCAGACTTACATGAACCCTGTGCTGATTGTAAACAAATTCAGTTACTGAAAGAAACAGTCTTTAAGTGCATAGTTAGAAATAATGTGCAAATATGGGCATTAAGGTAAGTAACTGAACTAACTCTCCTGCTATACGTAACATTTTAGATTTTTGGTTTGATTAAATTAATCACAAGTATTAACTAGTTAACATGAAGTTGTTAATATTGAAGAGCTGCAAATACATTCTAACAAAACTTAATTCTGATGCGCTTTCTAAATAGTAAACCTAATTAGATAAATGACTGCTTCACATTTTAAATCATTTAACACATCGGATGTTTAATGCAAGAAAAAACACGTGCACCATACACAATTTGTAAAAGCAGCAGAAGCTGTTAAACAAATGTGAAGATTTACAGGGCAGGAAAAAAATTCCCAAGCATACGCTTGAGCCCAAAAGCACAAGTTACATACAAACACTAGAAATTCCTGTTTTCAGGGTGTGTATTTATCATACTGAATTAGATTGGCACTGGAATTCCAGACACAGCAAAAGCCAACATAATCTTTTGGCCATATCTAACTGTACAGTTTGCAAATGACATGCACTTTTCTGTTCAGAAACAAAGAGGTTCAAATTATTTTTATGGGTCCTCAAATCAGAAAATATGCAGCACTTTATTGCTTTGAACATCTGTGGCAACGGCTGAATTTACACCCAAGCTGCTTCTGTACAGAAGATGACATTTCAATACTTTGAGGCTCAGGTTGGGAGACAGTAGGATATAAAGCAATTTCTCTAAGTCTCAAGAAATATCAGGGAACAAGAATGCTATTCCTTTCTTTCAAGTGAATGCAAAATTGGTTTACTGGTATATGGGCCCACAGTTCCGAGTCAGTGCATAGCTAGTCAATATTTCTGCTGGCATCTTGAACTGGTTTAATCAGTGGAAACATCTATTAATTTTATTCCACTTAATAATATGCATTAGTGCATTAATTTCTTCATAAAAAACCAACCCTGGCAAGTATTAAAAATAAATATCTTATTTAGGTCAAACTAAAGCCTTGCTTTTCAGTACTTTAATCCCTTTAAATATTCTTTTGCCCTCTAACAAGCAAATGGAAACTGAAGTAGAATAAGAGATGTATGGAGGCAGAGGGTAGCAGAAACATGAACAAAATCAACACCATAAGTCAGTTAACGTGTCCTCAGCTTCTTAGACTGTCTCTTGCGTTTTAATTCTTCTTCTTCCCGTCTCAATTCTTCTAAGTCCTCCTGAACACCGAGTCTCAAGCTGCCAAATAAGATGAAATCCTTTACACGCTGCTACTTAAACATGAAATTTGACTTCTACCCCTCCCCCAAGAAAAACAATCCTAAAATTATTACAGCTGATTTGAGCAAAAATTTTAGATCAGCTCAACCACCATAAATTTTCCTTAATTACAGCAAGAATACACCTTTAAAAAAAGAAATCAAGATTTTATCATTAGATTAGAATAAAATCTTTTGAGGGAAAAATTATTTAAAACGTTTGTTAAAAAAAAAATCAAGATTGTGAAAAAAAACTGATTTTAATACGAAATGTCATTTTTTTCCCCAAAAAGAAGCTGCTGAAACACATCCATCATTTCTTGCCAATGTAACTCTTACATACATGTCATAGCAGGACTGACTCTCATCAACTTCTCTGAGAGCCACCTAAGCCTTTTACACTGGCAAGGGAGAGAATGGATATGTCAAACAGTAAAGAAGCAAAAGATTTTGTTGCAACTTCCTGGCTTGAGGCACCATTCAGGTAGCTACAAGCCCAACACTGCTCCACCCTCAGTCCATCTAGCTGCCACGACTCTGGTGAACAGCTCCATGGAAGAGACTCTGCTAATACAGCATGTTCTAGCTACGTCCCTGCATAACTTCTTCAGCTTCCTAGAAGTCAGTATGTTGAAAGTGATACTTAAAACAGTGTCTGCAATCACTGATCTCCTCTTCAGTAAATAAGGGCTGGATAGTCTTGCTAATTTGATACTGGAACAGATGTGGCAAAGTTACCATTTCATGACCAGCTACTGCCTCATTTGCAGCCCTACCAAGTGCATTTGTATATCCATAGTTCATTATGAAGCAACATAAGGCAGTGTAGCATGCACGTCGATGCAAAAGGTTCAACCACACGACAATGAGGATTCAACTCTTCTGGGCTAAACTGCTCCAGCACAGGCTCTAAAATGGATTTTATGCCTAAACAAGCATAGCAGAGTCATCTTGAATTCAGGAAACTGCAGTCATCCAAATTAAGAATAGAAACACACACATCAAGGATCTATGTGATAAAACTCTGGCTGAAGCATCATTTTTCAACTTAGAACTTAACAACTATAATTTTAGTGGGCTTGCTTGGTTGGAAAAAGTTCCTCATTTCAAGGGTCACAATGCTTTTAACCAAACACTCAGTGAAAAGTAGTTGAGCATTGAAAATAGTTACACTCAATTTTACTCAAGTTTCTTATCTCCCCTTCCTTTATTCTAGCATGTGTAGTTAAAAGTTAGCCAGGTATTCAACTCTGCAAAACCTCACTCTACATCTTCAACAGAGAATTCAGTCAATAGCAATATCACTGTAAAATTCCAGCTGTTTCCTCTAACTCCATTTAACAGACTATAGCTTTACATGAACTGCATCTATTCCCCAGGAGCAAGAAAGAATAAGGACCCTGACTATAACTTCAAAAAGATGCAAGTTTCCAATGCTCAAGGCACCTTCTGAATAACAATACATACATTTCAGTAGAACAAGAAAATTTGGTAACTCAGTATATTCCAATATTTTCCATTATCTATAAAAACCTCTTAACTTTCACAAAGCTTGTTCCACCAGCCATTAAAAACCAAAAAGAAAATCCGTTTATGAACACCAGGTTCTATAATAGCGACATAAGAATTGTGCAGGTCTAGAGGCCAAAACCAATGGTCAAAACCAATATGAAAATATGATCTTCATGCTTGAAATCACTGATTACAAAAGTTTGCAGAGTACTTTTTATACATACATAGAAATATACACACACACATATAGATAAAAACAAATAAATCTCCTTCCAGTCCTCAAACTATCAGAATATTGTAATGTTTGGGACAAATTGAAGGGTTTAGCATTACAACTGAAATTTGAAGTATTTTTTTTTAAAAAGATTTTTGGGCATAAGTTGGTTTTGGTTTGTGGTTTTTTTTTTTTTTTTTTTTTTTTTTTTTTACAAGCAAAGTTTGTGATGCATGAGAATGAACATGCAAGATTTATTTACTGTACCCACCACTGGCTGGCTGAGTTTCGTCTTTACCTAAGCTTTCTTATAAAAAATGGTAAGGCTTATTTACCTCTACTATAAAAAGCAAATATCCACTCTAACTTAGCCCCATGACTTGGGCAATAAACAAACCTCCCACTTTCTATCTGAGTTTAAATCCATGCATACCTCCTAGCTTCTTCTTTCTGTTGCTCTCTCCAGCTGCTCTCCATGTAACGTAAGGCATAATCACTTTCATCTTTGTATCTGGAAATTAAATATTAGTTTTCAGCACACTAAAAAAACATGGTAATGTACAGTTAAGTTATGAATTCACATCCCTTCTTAGAAAGAATAATTACCTTGTCATACACAGATATTAATGTTTTGAAAGAATCTAAGTTACAAGGCTTTAAAATGCTTGCTTTCTTATACCTTCTTGTCAGACAAGAGGGAAATATTTAAATAAGCCAAATAAGACCCTTCATTTTCCAGCAGTTCTTAGTCATACCAAGTTAGATCCTCTTACAGAACAGCTACTACTATTGCATCAGCAGTTCATATTCAGGCAGCTACATTTGATGAATTCTGAAATACTGCAGACTGCTATAGAAAGCATTTTAACACCCAATAATAGGAAAGAGTTGCTATGAATTACACAGGTCAGACATTGAAGAAGCTGTGTGATTTTCCAGTTATGTCCCATTGCACCAAGTTTTATTGCTCCCCAGAAGAGCATGCCAGGCAGGATGAAAATTCAAGGTCCCTTCTGCACAGAAGCAGCTCTAATGCTTGTTAAATTTCTGCAGTGTAAAACCGTGTTTGGATACCAGCACCTCCCCTATTCCTAAAACATTTGTATTTGTTGAACTGTATTAGTTTCTGTTGTTCTGTTGCTTGTTCTGCAATATATTAAAATTGACATTTTTGTTACCTTTTCCGGTCATAGCCAAATATTTCCCGAATATGTTTTGATATTTCTTCCTGGGGTTCCCCTTCATCTTCAATGAAGTCATCCATTTCAGAGTCATATTCATCATCATCATCATCTTCTATTTGTCTTTTGTAACTAATAGGTGGTCTTCCAAGACCTAAATGACAGGGGAGTGAAAAAATTAATTAATTAATAACATTAATATAACATTAATTTAACTATGCCTTGCTATACCTTGGGCATTTTACAGCTCTGGGCTTCAAGGTGGAAAACTTTTGCCTCAAGTTAACTAGCTATTCTCAAACTCAGTAAAAGGAAATACTTCCTCTAAGTTGTGCTATATAAGATTACACATCAGTATCACCAACTGCATCCTGAGGAAACCACCAGACAGAAGTCTATGTTCTTGTTCAGGGTTTTCTAGGCACTAATTTGCTGAGTCCATGCTGCTTGTTTCTGATCAGAAATAAATTTTTAGAACTGCTTGCTTACTGATAAGGTGAATTTGCCAAAATACTTAAATATTAGTCACAGGTTTGCTGTGTGGTTTTAATTTTCATGTACCACTTTAAGCATCTGTTATTTAAGACACTACAAAATTTTAAAGACTAAGCATAATTAAGCTATGCAGGGAGTATATCCTTCAATTCTTTTCCTTCTAACAGCATTCGTATACCAACATCCATCACAGGCTGCTTAGTTTTCTTTCATGTAATACTTCACACCCCAGGCCTGTATTTCAAGGAATATGAGCATAGGTAAAAATAAATGAAAAGTTGCAAAGCAGAAAAAAGCATTCTACTGTTAAATGCACTCTTTAAAAGGCAACTATGGTATTTTGTCCAAGTCTTCCTAATTGCATCTATAATTGTCAAAGGCCCTCAGTGACCTCAACTCAGACCTAAAAAATACAAAACACATAACTAAGTGAAAAAAATTATTTGCTCTAGAACTTTATACCTTGTGGATGAAACACAGGTCTATGCCCTTGAAAAGGTCTCATTCCATTTATCTGTCCGTTGCTAGGTCTTGTGACTAGGTTTTTAGAAGAAATAGTTTCCGATACAACAGTACACTTCGGTTTCACAGTTGTACCCAAGCCGCTGCCTGGTCGCCCAGGTCCTGTGCTTGGGCTGATGCCTGGCCTTCCTGGTCCTGTTCCCAAGCTGCTGCCTGGTCGCCCAGGTCCAGTGCTTGGGCTGACTCCTGGCCTTCCTGGTCCTGTTCCCAAGCTGCTGCCTGGTCGCCCAGGTCCAGTGCTTGGGCTGACTCCTGGCCTTCCTGGTCCTGTTCCCAAACTGCTGCCTGGTCGCCCTGGTCCTGCATTTGTGCTGATGCCTGGCCTTCCTGGTCCAATACCCAAGCTGCTGCCTGGTCGCCCAAGTGCCATGCTTGAGCTGCTGCCTGGTCGCCCAGGTCCTGTGCTTGAGCTGCCAGCCAGCCTTCCAGGTCCCATGCCTGAGCCACTGCCCAGTCGCCCAGGTCCTGGGCTTGAGCTGCTACCTGGCCTTCCAGGTCCTGCAGCTGAGCCGCTGCCTAGTCGCCCAGGTCCTGGGCTTAAACCACTTCCTGGCCTTCCAGGTCCCACACCAGAATTGCTGCTCAATCGTCCAGGTCCTGCACTTGAACTGCCACCTGGATGTCCAGGTCCTCCTTTTCCTAAGCTGCTGCCTGATCGTTTTGCATTGGAGTTGATTCCATGCTGAAGGGCCGCAGCACTTCCTGATTTTGTATGGGCAGACTTTTTCAGGCTGGATTCTTTAGCAGATGGTAGCCTCTGAGCCCCATTGGCCGCTGGCTTTGAGGGTGGCACATGAGAGCTTGAGCCAGACTTTCCAGTACCATTGACAGGTAATTTACTATGACTGCTACCAGTAGAGCTTCTTAAGGAGCCATTTTGTGAGGTTTTTTCCATTTGATCAGATCTGGAGGAAGGTGATGACCATGAGTGTTTTTCAGTCAATGCTGGTGCTTTGGATTTCTTATCAGTACCACTCATAGAAGATGACAGACTGCCTTTTGGTGTGGAATGTTTATCTACTGAGCTTTTGTTAAGTTTTGCATTTACAGTTTCCTTCTGAGAAGTCACTTTTTTTGAAGAACTGGATATCCCTGTATTCTTAATCTCCTTCTCACTTTTCTTATGCATTTCTGCTCTTTTGTTTTTACGTCCCAAATACTCCCTCTCTCTCAATTCTTCTGCTGTTCTGGGTCTCTCTTCTACCTTTTTCACTGCTTTTATTTCAACTGGTTCATATTGTTTTTTTTCAGCAAGCCTTAAGAGCTCTGCAAAGTTCAGAGGTGCTGGTGCACTTTTGGGAGGTGCCTTTGGTTTCACTGCAACTTTGGATGGTTTCTCTTCATATTCTTCTTGCTCATGCTCAGATTCAGTCTGACTGTATTCGAGTTGCTCAGTTTCATCTTCTGTTGCATACTCAGCCTCTGGGGCCTGAGCGACATTCTCACAAGTCCTCCTCTTTTTAGGCTTCTCTTCAACAGGAATGCTATTATAGCCATAAGCCATTATTGCAATAAAAATTATCCTTTGTTCGTGAGGCCATAGCTCTTGCCTTTCTGTCATGTTTCAGTTCAATACGTCTAGCCAAGAGTTCTTCTTTTTTTCTCCTTTCTTCCAGTGCTGTAAAAGAAAACCAGGAGAAAGTTATGCAAAAGCACTACTTTTTATTTCAATTCCTTCCAAACTGATAAACCATTTAGGACAGTAGTTTAAGGATATCTGGCTAACAGCTATTCAATTTAGACCAGTGATCGGGGGTCTGCCAACAGGGCAAGCTAACCCACCTTAATCAGCTACTCTGACAAAGGCGAGCCATTAAGTCAAATGCTGCTATTGCAAAACCCACTAAGGTGATTCAGCCGAAGAAGCTCTCCAGAATGCTATGCAAACTAAGGAGAATTACTGTGTGAGGAGGCACAGGACTTATGGGATCTCTGGGTAAGGGAAGGAGTTCTGAGGCTGAACAAGAGAATTTTGAGACTGTACAGAATTTACAATCAGATATTTAAGGGAAGATGAGGAAAGTGAGGGACTAAAAGAGTATTGGAGTATAAGAATTGGAAAACAGGCTGAGTGTGTGTGTAGAGGAGTGTAGGGGAGAGACAGAAGCAGCCAGCCGCAGATAAGCAAGCTGCTGGTCACTACATTTGTCTGGTAGAGCCCTGTGCCCTATCTCCACAGTCTGTCCTATATTCTTACTGAATTGTTTTTAGCTATTTTCTGCGTAAGTATGCTCTCTATCTTGAGTCTGTGTTTGATCTGCTGACAAAATTCAGGCTGAACTAGCTGGTGAATAGAATGATAGCTCTGAACGCCAGATACTGGAGAGACCAAGGGAATGGGGGCCAAATATCAGAAAGACTCAGGAAAAGCATCAATTCCTAGAAAATGGATTAGGCTACTCATGCTGTGGGTGCTTGTAAAGGTACCACCCCCTGCCTATGTTATTCTATTGTCAAGGGCTGTGACTGTACAGAATGTGAGTGCATGCATGCCTATGTGGAATTCATGCGCAGTCTTGCTTCTGGCTGCAGCTGGCAGCAGGGATAAGAAGCAGGCTCATGACTGGCCCAGGAGAGGAGGAATACCCTGGGCCATCCAGTCCATCAGATTTGGTTACCTTTAACAAAACATTAACAACAGAAGCAATGCAGTATTAGTTTATTCTATAGGCTATTTAAAGGAAATATAATACAGAGGAAAAAATGTAGCTCGAACAAAGCCTCTGCCATACAAATTTAAAATTCAGACTGTATTGATACACTAGATTAAGACACAGCAGCAACTCTTACCATTTTTCAACACGGATAAAGCTTTTCAAAATTAAGTTATCAAAAGTCCAGATGGTTTATTGCAATATCTCTTCACCTTAACTACTTCTTGATCTCCAACAGTAAATGCTAGTGTAGCTGATTAATATTTAACTCCTTCGGAAAGCATGCAAACATCCCTAGTCCTTACTTAGTCCTGGCTTTCCCTCAGGATCAGTTATGTGCATAAATTCCAGAAACAGATGTGTAGCTGTATTTGCAAGAGCTTTGAATAAGGTGACAAAGTCTCAAAGAGTCAATGAAAGACTCCCATAGGAAATATTTTGGAATGTTACCTTTTTTTCTTTTTTCTTCTTCTTGCCGTCTGAGAAATGCTTGCACTGCTGCAGACTCTACACCCTTGACTTTTGGAACCTTTTTGGGAGGACCAACAGCCAAACTGTACCTTTTCTGCAAAGACCAAAGAAGTATGTCAGAAAAGTTAAGAAATTAAAAAAATCTTAAGGTTTTTAAAACTGAGGAGTCAAACATGACTGTTACACAACTTTAAGCATAGAGATGGTACAGAATAAACAAAGAATGAATTCCTACTGAAGCTGAGTCTCATGACGGATACACTTGACTCCTCTCCTAGCCATACTTTGGTTCAGGCTAAGGAGCAACAGGCCTCATGTCCTTGGGGTGAACTTGTGAGCTAGAAAGCCCCTGGCTCACATACAAGGGAGTGAAGGTGTCTTGGACAATATTTTGAAAGGTGGCTTCTAAACCCAAAAGTGCAAGATAACCAAAGCACAGAACAAGATACCAGAGCTAAAATGAAGACGTTATCTTGTTTATACTATCGACTAGCAGCCAACTACTTCACCCTATAGATATTACCATCAGGTTGGGCCCAATTTGAGCTCTCCCTGAATTGCAGCTGGACAGCATGCCACATGACTCTCCCCTTGAGCAGGGACGCTTCTCAAGGTTAGAGATTCCTTACCTGAAACTAAGAGATCCTTCCCTACCCCAGGCAGAAAGATCCCTTACCCGTGACAGATCCTCCATAAGTGACTGATAACATACTGAATTAATATTATGAAACATTACTAATCCATGTAGCTACTCAATATTATAAACATTGTATGGATAATTCCATTAGACATAAACCATTGACCAAGTCCGAGACTAAGATTGGATCCAGCCACACTGTTGAAGATTATCTTAAGTTTTACTGAATCTTTTTATGTTTGGTTGTGAAATAATCAACTATAAGAACATCTTGATTTCAAGAAGTTAGCCTCTATGTTAGTGTTACGTATGGGTTGCTGTGTTACTTGTTATCCGAGGCTGTGTTGCTTGAAGTCTCTATTCTCTGGACCCTCTAGACCATAACCAGAACACCTAGATTCTATTGTATACAGGATGAGTTATTTGACAACCTGGCAAGGTAGAGATTTAGCTGGCCAACTTGGCAACAAAACTTACTTTTAAGGTATCCTGAAGTGAACTGCTTTCATTATAATACTAAGAAAACCCACACCCACAGGTCAAGACCACCCTTGCCCAGGTGAAGACCCTTCCCCTGCACAAGCATACTAACAGAAAAGAATGACATAGCAGATATTATAATTATATGCAAATCACTAACCAATGACTGTAACTGGAAGTGTACTACCTTGTAATTATTGTGTATAAATGTAATGAACTCAGCATAGGTGTGCTTGATTTGTGGAAATTCCACCTAGCACCCAGTGCCGTAATAAAGAATGCCTGCTTTCTAAAACTCCAAATTGAGTCTTAAAGTTTTTCATCTGCTAACTTACAGTAACAACACCTAGGCTCCAAAAGGAGTTTAGAAAGCAAAGGGGTCCACTCTGAACCTCGTGACTCAATGAGAGGGTCCTCTTTACTCTTTGCATACCCAGTCTCGGTGTGAATCATTCTAACTCAATTTTCTTTTGTATGTTTCTTCCAGGCAGTAATTAATAAGGTAACCCTTGCCATCAAACTTAATGAGACTTGTCAAACCACTGTTAAAAACTTTGTTAAATTCCATCAAACTTATTGAACCCTGTCAATTATTTTATCTCGATAAAATACATTGCTGCTTCTCTCTTTTGAGAGGTGCATTCCACTCATCCATGACAAGAATGCACTCAGCTTTCTGAAGGAATGAACAGGAAACCAGAAGACAGGTAGGGAAACCAAGAGAAATGAGTAAAATGCACTAGACTGAGAAGGAATGCAACCGCTGCATCAGTAATGGAATAAAAATATTTAAGTTCAGCCTTAGTCTTTGATCAAGCAGGAAACAAAAGCAGACTGCAGCCCAAGCTGCCAGAGTCTGTTCAATTCCAGACTGCAGGTTTACAGGTCCATTAGGGCTTTCAGCTTTTTTGTGGATGCTCATTTCAGTTTCAGGTTACCTTATTCAGTGAAAATAAATAAGTCAACTCAAAAAATGTAATTTCTCCAAAAGTTGGAACTGACTTCACCAGCATAATTAGTAGGTTGATCTAAAACCAGTGGTATTGCTTTTAGTTCCTGCTGCAGTGATCTTGAACAGAAGACTATTGTACATCAAGGAGTTAGTGATCTGTATACCAGTTGACCTGAATAGGCACAGGCCTGCACTCTACTATACTTATCACCTGAGACCACTGGATGAACTCAGCAGACTAATTGTGACAGAATATGCAGCCCCCACTTGGCACCTGGCAATTACACCATTTGCATGTGGTGTGACTTGCCTGGAGAAGAGAAGGCTCCAGGGAGACCTTATTGCAGCCTTTCAGTACTTAAAGGGGGCTTATAAGAAAGATGGGGACAGACTTTTTAGCAGGGCCTGTTGCAATAGGACAAGGGGTAGTGGTTTTAAACTAAAAGAGGGTAGATTCAGACTAGATATGTGGAAGACATTTTGTACGATGAGGGTGGTGAAACACTGGAAGAGGTTGCCCAGAGACGTGGTAGATGCCCCATCCCTGGAAACATTCAGGGTCAAGTTGGACGGGGCTCTGAGCAACCTGCTCTAGTTGAAGATGTGCCTGCTCATTGCAGGGGGTTGGACTAGATGCCCTTTAAAGCTCCCCTTCCAACCCAAACCATTCTACGATGCTATGTCTCACATCTTGAAGTGAAGCAGCATGTTTTCATATAACATCCTTTTGCTTGGCAGTGAAAATGTTAAATAGAGCTGTTTACTTCCAAGAACATCCTATAAAAGTTCTAAAGACTACAATGCTGGTGATTCTCACCACAGACAGGATTTGCACAGCTTGCCATGCCTAGATGTCTGTCCAGTGTTGTACAACTCAGGGTTCCAGCAGCTGAACAGATGTAAAGTTATCTATGCTACCCCCTTTTTTCCTTCTCCTGGCATCTTGAATAAATTTTATTTTAATCAATACGTTAAGAGTCTGAGTGTCTTTCTTACTGGGATCTATAATGAACACTTGCACTAGTGTGCTACACCTGTTCAGACATTACCTTTCATAAATGTACCAATTATCAGATTGGGCTTTAGAATGATAAAATGACAAAGACTTCTTTGATCTTCTTCCCACAGACTAGAAAAGATAAACAAAGCAATGAGAAGGACAGACACACTTGCAAAGATAAATACAATAGAAGCCAGTTAAAGCCAGAAGCAGATGGAAAGCAGAAGAATACATTTAGAAAAAAACAACTCTATTTGAGGCTTGGGGGTTTTTTTGGATTTCAGTAGTAAGCCAATAGATTATAACCTAAACCAAGATCTTCCACGTGGAAAGATAGGATCCTCACCAAATGAAAGAGCTGTGCAATATGGTCCCAAATAAAAACAGTATCACCAATAAAAAATCCACACAAGTCAGTATTCCCATCAATATCTTCCTATCCTCTTATAGCCTTATGAAACTTAACTAAAAAAATCAAATTAAAATGTCTAGTAAAGATACCTACATCCAAATGTTTTAGAAGCAATGATCAGGCAAGCTAGTAGCATAACTCCCTATAGATTTCAGTATCACCCAATGGAAGCCTTCGTTCTAATTTCTAGTTCATTGAAACAACAGCACATGAATAGATCCTTGACTACTTTAATTACTAACATGCAAACCCATACATTATCTTGTATATAGATGCACTAAGCACCAAGGTTCAGAGACTCATTTCTAAAATGAGCAGCCAAAACTGGCTCCAAGAAGGGTAGCTACAATAACAGCTATTTATAGTCGCCTTTAGTAATTTATGAAATTACTAAAACAAAATTATGAAGATACACCATCCACGTACATTGCAGTAGTAAAACCTGACATGTTGCCTCATCACATTGAAGACCTACTACAGTCAAGCTCGTTTACCAAGATTCACCTCTGCGCAAGAGAGTTTATCACAATCTGAGAACTGATTTTGTAACTCATCACCTGGAGAAGCTCCAACTCTGAACAATTTTTGGTACTTACAATTGAAATCATTAGAATTGATCATCATAGCTAGGACTATTTAAAGGATAAGAAGATAGCTGGAGCTGGGCCCCTCTCTTCTGGGAAGCTGAGGTCCTTCCCTCTCCAACTTTTGTGTTGTTTACACCAAAAGTATTCCAAGACCTAACTGTTCAGGAAGTGTTCAGGAAACCTGAACCACAATGCAGTACTGCCTCTCAAGTTTTGCTCAAATGTAGCCCATGACTCAGTGGCCCAAAGTAATCTGGCATGCTCCATCTAAATCAGAACACAGAGAAGCAAGCATTCCACACATTCAGTGAAAATCCTTTCAGAAAAAGCTTGAAACAAATTAGTACCTTAGGAGTACTAATTTGAGGTACTCTGTAGTATACTCATATTAGTATACTACATATTAGTATATGTATACTAGTATACATATATATGTATATTAGTATACTCATATTAGTATGATGTCTATGTAAATTATCTTGCTCTCAAAGTTAAACATGTCATGTTTTGCCATTGGTAACCTAATTTGGCAAAACTTGGTTTAGTTATTCAATTTCTACACAGTTTTTAAAAACAGACAAAACAGAGCATTTTCAAAACAGAGGATATGGTTGGACTCAATCTTCAGTGTCTTTTCCAACCTAAATGGTTGTATGATTCTGAAAGCATTTCAGGCCTAAGGAGCACCTTTCAAAACTGCTAAACAGCAGGGACAAATGTAGATTGATCTATCCTGTTAGAAAGCCTTATAAAGAATTAAAGTGATGGGGAAGCAGTTTTCAGGCTTTGTTTTGCTGCACTACAACCAACAGCCCTATCCAGGAGCAGGTTTGTAAAGCAGCTTGACAGACAAGCTGTTTTCTCACTGCCACTAATGTAGCAAACTGTGCAAAATTCAAGATTTAAAAGTCTTCCCATCAGTAGCATTTCTTGACATTGACTAACAACTGAAAACATAGCTAAACAATTCATAAATTAATACCCATTTTCTGTACTGTGAATCACTACTATTGTTGATAAAAGTTTTGTTCA